GCCTCAGGCGGCCCCGCTGGGCCCGCTCACCGAGGCGCTGGGAGCCGCCTGTCGCGTGCGGCTCTTTGAGTTTGCCTTTCGTGCCTTGTTTGACTGTGACCGGCCTGTGGCCCAAAAGGCCTGCGACCTCCTCCTCTTCCTGAGAGACAAGATGGCGCCCTCTGGCAGCCTGCAGGAGGCTGGTGGCGGCCCGGATGTGGCCTCCGTGGAGGCCGCCCTGCAGAGGTGGCGGGCGGGTGAGCAGGGCCAGCCCCTGGGTGACCTGGAGCCCAGAGCCGTGCTGGCCGTGCTGAAGTCCCTCGACCTGGAGGGCCTCCAGGGAACGCTGGCCGAGAGCAGCGACCACGTGGAGAAGAGCCCCCAGTCCCTCCTGCAGGACATGCTGGCCACGGTGGGCGTCCTGCAGGAGAACCAGGCTGACTGCTACTGAGGCAACCCAGCCCGGCGCTGAGCCCTGGGACCCCCAGAGGAGGGCTGCGCCATGTCGTTCCGTGGGACGCTGCCATTCCGCGGGGCCCGCAGGGAGTCCGGCCTTGGAGAGGAGCGAGGTCTGAAGAGCTCCCATTTGGTGTGTTGTTAAGGAGGTGGCTTATTTTCTACTCAATAAATGGCTCTGAAGTTTTTAATCCATTGTGAGTTAACTTCGGTTTTTTGTTTGAGTTGGGATCTCACTCTGTCACCCAGGCTGGAGGCCAGTACCACGATCGTGGCTCACTGCAGTCTTGACCTCCTGAACTCAGGTGATTCTTCTTCAGGTGTGTCCCACCACCCCCAGCTAATTTGTTGATGTTCTGTAGACACGGGGTCTCGCTATGTTGCCCAGGCTGGCCTTGAACTCCTGGGCACAAGCAGTCATCTTACTTCAGCCTCCCTAAGTGCTGAGGTTACAGGAGTGCGCCACCATGCCTGGCCCAACTTTTATATATGGTATAAGACAAGGGCCCAGTTTCATTCTTCTGCATGAGGATGTCCGGTTTTCCCAAAGTTGTTCATTAAAGAGATTGTCCTTCCCTCATTGTGTATTCTTGGCACCCTTGTCAAAGATTAGCTGGCCATATGCATAAGGGCTTATTTCCGGGTACTTTCTTCTGTTTCACAGGTCTATGTGTCTGTTCTTATGCCAGTTCCATACTGTTTTGGTTACTATGGCTCTGTAGTATGTTTTGCAGTCACGTGGTCTGGTACCTCCAGCTGTGATCTTTCTCAAAATTACTTAGGCTCTTTGGGGTCTCTTGTGGTTCCATATGGATTCTGGATTATTTTTTCTATTTCTGTGGAAAATACCATTGGAACTTTGATAGGGATTGCAGTAAATCTGTAGATTACTTTGGGTGGTGTGTACATTTAAAAATAACCCTTCCAATCTCTGAACATGGGAGATGTTTCCATTTATTTGGGTCTTCTTCATTTTCTTTCATCGGTGCTTTATGTTTTCAGTGTACAGGTCTTTTGACCTCTATGATGAAAGTTACTCCTAGGCATTTTATTCTTTTTGCTACTCTTGTATATGGGATCATTTTCTCAAATCTTTTTTCAGCTAGTTCATTGTTAGTGTATAGAGACACAACTGATTTTTGTGTTTTGATTTTTTATCCTGCAATTTTACTGTAATTATTTATTCTAATAGTTTTTTGGTGGAGTCTTTAGGGCTTTCTATATATAACTGTGTCATCTGCAACAGAGACAATTATATTATTTTCTTTCAGATTTAGATGCCTTTTATTTCTTTACCTTGCCTGACTGCTCTGGCTAAGACCTCCAGTACCATGTTGAATAGAAGTGGTGAGAGTGGGCACCCTTGCCTTGTTTTTTGAACTTAGGGGAAAGGCTGTCAGCTTTTTTCTGTCTGGTATGCTGTTAGCTATTGGCTTGTCTTATAGCCGTTTTTGTATTGAAGTGCATTCCTTCCATACCTGCTTTGTTGAGAGATTTTATCATGGAAAGGGTTTGAGTTTTGTCAGATGCTTTTTCTGCATCTGTTGAGTTGATCATATTTTTTTAATGCATCTGTTGAGTTGATCATATTTTTTTAATCCTTCATTCTGTTAATGTGATTTACATTTATTGATTTGCATATGTTGAACCATCCTTGCATGCCATGGTAAATCCCACTTGATCATGGTGTGTAATCCTCTTTTTTTTAAAATTTGAAAAATTAGTTTTATTTAGAACACATACGAAAGTTTTTTTTAAAGGGATAAAAGTTTAGAAACTACAAAAGAAGATAAAATAAGATGAATGAGTGACCAAAAAGTATGTGGAAAAGAGTTCATTATCATTAGCCAGGTGTTTGATCCTCTTATCATGCTATTGAATTGGTTTGCTGGTATTTTGTTGAGTGTTTTTGTGCCTATATTCATCAGAACTACTGACTTGTAGTTTTATTTTATAGCATCTTTATCTGGCTGTGGTATGAGGGTAATGCTAGTCTCATAAAATGAGTTTGGAACTGTGAAACTCCTTGAAGAAAACATATGAAGAAAGGCTCCTTGACATTGGTCTTGGCAGTGATTTGTAAGTGTTGGCAAGGATGTGGAGAAAAGGGGACACTCATACAATGTTGATGGGATTGTAAACTGGTGTGGCCACCATGGAAAGCAGTATGGAGATCCCTCAAATAATTACAGATGTAACTACCACATAACCTAGCAATTCCTCTTCTGGTATATAATCCAAGGGAAATGAAATAAGCATATTGAAGAGGTATCTGCACTCCCATGTTCATTGCAGCATTATTCACAAAAGCCAAGATATGGAATCAGCCTAAGTGTCCATCCATGAATGAATGGATCAATAAATTACATGTATATACAATGGAATATTATTCGGCCATTAAAAAAAGAAGGAAATCTTGTCATTTATGACAACGTGAGTGAACCTGGAGGACATTGTGTTACGTAAATAAACGAGGCACAAAAAGGCAAATTACATGATCTCACTTGTATGGAATCTTTAAAAGCCAAACTCAGAAGCAAAGAGTAGAAGGATGGTTGCTCGGGGCCAGGACTTCGGCAGGGCATGGGAAGATGTTGGTCAAAGGTACACACTTTCAGTTAGGAGCTGATTAAGTGCTGGGGCTCTAGTGTACGATGTGGGTAGTGATGGCTGAGTTAATTTGTAAACATCTTTACACAATGCACACTTGTGTCAGATCACATACACCTTGACTATATTCGATTCTTGTCAGTTCTAGTTTTTTAAAACAGCTGGAATTTGACTAATGCCATTCAGTCAGCACTTTGTGCTAAGACTGGCCAGGGATAGGCCCCAGGCCCAGAGGGTTTGGAGAGGCGTCTGGGGAGGGATCCCCTGCCTGATGCCCCAGGAGTTCCGTGACGACCAGGCTGGAGAGTGACTTGGCACTTGACCCTCTTGACAGTGACCCCAAGTGTCAGCCCAGTGGAGTCCAGGCTTCTAATCTTTGACCTCCAGGATTACCCTGAAGTCTGCTGTCTCAGTGGACGGGCAGGTGGGGCCCTGTCAGCAGGGGTTAGGACCCAGGCGGTCCTCAGTGGGGCCAGCAGGCACAAGCTCAGCTCTGTCCTTTCTTCCCTCGCCTGTAGATGGGGAGTTTGCATCTTCCTTCCAGGGAAGGAAGATGCCTGTGCCTCCTGGAGCTCCTTGCGCCGTGCCAGGTTGCTTCGCGCTACTTGTGTGCTCAGGAGCCGTGGTGCTGGGCGCAGGCTGTGCATGCTACAGTGGGAGGTGTGTGGGCCCTGTGAGGTCCTGCAGACGTGCCTGCTCACAGATAGGCGGCAGCGCCCACTGTGCTTTAGCAGACCTGAGGATGGCGGCCAGGGCCTGGCCCACGGTCCACATGCCCCTTGGTGGGTCTGCCGCTGGGCCGGCCACCAGCTTCCCGGCCTCCCTTGAGAAGTCGGCCTGTGTCCTCAGGCATGCAGTCCAACCTTTGCACAGGTTGCAGACCGGGCCCGAGGTGGAGCTGAGCCCGCAGGGAGCAGTCCTGGGGTCTCCTGGCAGATTTGGTGCATTCTTCCAGAGCCACTGGGAACAGAGACCAGCGAGATGTGTGAGGAGGCAGCAGGAAGCTCGAGCTGGCGAGAGGCTCTTCAGGGCGGGCGTGCCTGGTGCAGACAGCACCCTCCCTCAGAAGCCACATCCACTGTCCAGTCTACCCCCTTCCCGTCAATCAGTCATTCGACCAACCAGCACTTGAAATGCCCTTGGCAGGGCCCTCTCTGGGTTCTGGGAAGACAGCTGCAGCCGACGGCTGGGGCTTGTCATCCTGCAACTCGCCAGGCAGGGCAGGAGATGGAACACGAACATGCAGGCACACACGTGTCATTGCAGGTTATTGCAGGTGGTGATAACAGCCACGAAGTAAAGTATCTGGGGGAGAGACTCCGGGGAGGAGACCAGCTTTGAGAAGCTGGGACCATGGCCGTGGAAGTCTGGGGGCACTTTTCGGCCAAGCCCCGAGGATGAGGAGCTGCCGGCCACACAGCGTGCCTTCCAGGTGGGGCAGAGGGTGTGCGTGGGGGAGGGGGCTTGCTGGAGGACGCCCGGTGCGAGGCCCACACTGGAGGGTGGCAGGACGGGGCGGTGGGGGAGGGAGCCCAGGGGAGAGGGTGGCCATGGAGTGCAGAATCCACCCAGCCTAGACCATCCGCTTAGTCTGAGTTTTTAGTTCCCCCCAGGCATCAAGTGCAAGGAAACCAGGTGGGGGCTTGGGGATCCTGTGTCCTTAGGGTGCAGACACCATGTGTGGGTGTGAGATACACGGGGAACACCGGAGACGAGAGAAACAGTCCCAGCTCCAATCTAGTTAGGTGGCAGGGACCCGAACCCTGCTGCCGTCCCTGGTTCTCAGGCGAGGTCCAGAGGTGAAGGCCCCGCTGCCTCCAGGACCCTGCGGGCTCTCCATCAGAGGAGCTTCCTGGAGGGGTGGCAGGCGGGCCCACGGCAGAGGGTGTGCGGCCCAGGACACGTGAGCCACCCTGGGAGTCATGGCCTCAGCACACCTCATGGCCTCAAGGTGGTCTTGTGGCCAAGAGGGGAGGGCTGCCTGGGGCTCGGGGGCACTGCAGGCGAAGCAGTGACCCGGCCCAGGGGCGGCCCCCTTTCTTGGGGTCGGAAGCCGGCAGGAAGGGCACCGGCACAGTGGCGTGCGAGGCTGGTAGGAGCTCCGTACTCCTTGGAAAGCAGCTGGCAGTGCCTCGGGCGAAATCTGCATTTTGGTGCAGGCTGAGCGACCGAATCCCGGCTCCAAAGGATTCTGGGGGACGCAGTCAGGCCGGGTGCCTGGGAGCGAGGCAGCCGGCCCGCCCGGCCAGTGTCACACGGGCCCCCACCGCTCTAGTGTGTGGAGTCTGTGCGGGGTCCCTCCTGGTGCCCTGCGTCCCCGTGTCCTTGGTCAGCTGGACTTATGTGGCTGCTCGTTGGCTTCCAGAAACGCGCTGTGGGGGTTGAGGCCTAGGACGCGGGTGGGCTCCCCTCGGGAGAGTCGGGTTGGGACATCGCCTGTCGGAAGCTGTTCAAGCCAGCTCTGCTGCCTGGCGTTCTCCACAGCCTGGGTCTCACGTCTGTGCGAGCAGCTCCAGGGCTCCCTCTCCGGAGCTGCTGCTCTTCTTCCCTCAGCACCAAGTCCGGCTTCCCTCTGACGCATTCTTACCCTCAGCCT